GTTTTGGTATTGGTTTTGGCAACCGTTCATACGTTGTTCATGGGCAGAATACTTTACTGAACATCCATCTTTAGGATGGACATTATACTCTCCCTCTCCTCGCTTGCTCACTGTTCCCTATTTTAGAAGATATGCTACATTTAGATGAGGATATAATATGGTAATTTAGGAGATTACTATCTCTCCTTCCCCTTAAGATTTATGCATACTCTATCTCTTCCCTTTATTACCCTAAATATACGTACTTTCTGTCTCTCTCCCCACACTTACTTTTGTCTTTCAGAAAACTGAGCCCATTCTCTCTCTCTCTCTCTCTCTCTCTCTCTTCTCTTAGAGTTACGAATTTGTCCTACAACCTATATACAATTAGGGACCCTACTTATTTTTGCGACGTGTGTCCACCCTTTAATTCTTGCTTAATAATGTAGTATAAACATATCTCAGCAGACAGTATACTTTACTGAACGTCTATCTTTAGGATGGATATTTGCGAGTCAGCAGGCTCTTGCGCCTGTTTACTCTTGCAATAATTTCATACACACACATATTGGGTAAGTCACTGATGAAGTCGATCCCCTACCCATGTTCATTAACATAAAAACTAAAATGCGTCGAGTGGAAAAGAATATCCTTTAATGAGGAATATTTATGACATCAATGGAAAGAGATAAAATCGGGTAGTCTTGTTGGCGCACCTGAAGCTATAGCTCCATTTTTGGCCAATAAATCAGCGACTTGATTGGCCTCACGATAGATGTTTCTAAAGTTCCACCAGTAATCTTGAAGCAGCCAAATATAAATGTGATATTTCCATGGAACTATCACAAAATTTTGCATCGAATCAACCGCAAGTTTGCAGTCACTCTCAATCTCAATGCTTCCCCTCTCCAAAGCACAAAATTCAGCTGTATTATTTTCTTTTGTTGAATTGGAGCATTGTGTGGTTCGCAAGAAGGCATGTGAGCTTTAACTTCCTCTTCATTAGAAATTGAATTCTAATGTCCATCTTTAACAACAATAACGCTGTCATTTCTCCTTGTCACATATGTAGATCGAACGGAAGAATTTGGTATTGGCATCACCATTGTTTTACTTAATATTCCATCCAGAATTTAAGCTGATTAGGATGTTCCTTTTCTTCGGCCTCCTGCATAAGAAGATTGCTCGGATTATTAGCAAGATTCCCATGTATAACAGATAATTCATCACACACTTCATTCAAATTAATCTTATAGGTAATATTGCCAAATAGATCTTTATTCAAATTTTTAAGATCCACCCTTAATCTTTTCAATTTGGACAAATCCTCCAAGTTTTTTCAATTAGGTGACGGAAGGAGATATCACTCTTTCATGCGCAGACAAATCTAAAAGCTTAAAAAGAAATGAAGTCCCCAAGCAATAACCATGACCCTGAAATGGAGTCCCCAAGTAAAAACCAGTGCCCCTGTAATTTTTAGAGTAATTTTTGTATAGAACCAAAATTTTAGGTGAAATATACTCTACTTATATGCGAACATTACAAAGAAGATCAGCCTACCCACTTTTTTTTTTTTCAAAATTGCCTTCTAGTCAACCAGAATTTTGATTTTTTTTTTTTTCTTTCGTTAATAAGGAAGCGTCTTAAAGCTTGGGGCACTGCCCTACTAATGTAAAAAAATAAAAAGTTTACCCGGAGCAATTTTAAAAAAAATATAAAAAAAAGGTTGACCGAACTTTGCATTTTGTATTTCACTTAAAATTTTAAGGTCCGAATGTAAATTACTCCAGTTTTTTAAGTACCTGATCTGCCGCCAAAGTGTTTTCCCTTGCTATGGTATGATGAAGCTACAAATACCTTCGACATGGACTTTGTATTAGAATTAATTAGATGGCACTCCATTAATGGTTCGCTCATCAAAGCAAAGTATAGACACTTGGATTTTGATCGGGTTCCAAAGGCGAAGATTTCTTTTTCGGGAAAGTATATAATGAGACGATTAATCTTGACCATTAGTTGTGAAATTGGGTGGCTGCATTTTTTTCATTGACCACGCTCAAAGTTTAAAAGAATTTTTCTCGAATTTCGTGATACACCCAAGCTATCGTATTTCACATTGAATGGTTGTAAGTAATTGTGACCTCTCAATACCAAAAGTAAATGGTGTCATTGTATACAATCCCATCTATTTTTCCTCTTAAATGAGATAACTACAAATTTATCATAAAAACCTGAGTTTACAACACTACACGTTCATTCGAGTTTCTATAAGAAATAGTTACCAGATATTATTTTCTATTACAATCAGGGTTAGAAAGAGTGGCTCGGGCCAGATGCTTGTCCTAGGCGCGAGCCCAAGTAACTTGGCCTCAATTGGGTTGAGTCCCGGACAAGGCCAAAAAGTGTTCAAAAAATTAAAAATAATAATAAATTAAAAATAAAAAAATATTTTTAAAATAAAATTAAACAAAACACATCTAAATGAAGTTAAAAAAAATTATATACAATACCAAATATATAAGCTTCCTCGTTTGCCATCTCTTTCACAAGGGCTGCATGACACGATTATGTTTGTGAAAATCCTCATGCATTTTGACTATTATTTTAAATGCGCCCATGTGTTAAACAACTACAATGGTTCCGTAAAGAATATGCTTGTAGTTTTCAAAAAATGGAGAGAAAGTCATTAACTACTATTTATGATGTGACCCCACCCCCATTTGTCTCTATACAACATTCGGAGTAGGGTTAGAAAAGAAGTTCATTTCCATGGCTCTTCTTCACAAAAAAACTGATGATGCCGTGGTGACTCTCATAATTATAAATACAACATGGTATTTTATAAAACTTTTGTCAATGTCCTATATATGTTATAATATCTTTAATTTTTATTTTTTTCATATAAAAAAACATACAAGAGTCTATTTATCTTTGATATAAAAAAGTCACAATCAACTATTGGTTCTTTTAGACTTAAAATTGGAAGACTAAGTGTGTATTACTAATCGGACGATAAGTTCAAATGAAAGTTTCTTGAGCTTTATGAGCTACTCAAAGATTGATTTGACATTTGGTAACTAAAGTTG